GTTAGTAGATCATTAGTGAGTTTTAGTAGGGCAGTTTCAGTGGAGTGTAGTGAGTGAAAGCCAGACTGTAAAGCAGCGGTTCTCAACCTGGGGGTCGCGACCCCTTTGGGGGTCGAACGACCATTTCCCAGGGGTCGCCTAAGACCATCGGAAAACACATATTTCCGATGGTCTTAGGAACCGAGACACCGCTGCTGTCTCCGGCGATGTGTGGGCGGGATGATATGCTGCCCCTGTCACCGCCTCCTCGCCGCTGATTGGCCACCGGAACTGTAGCTCAGGAGAGGCACACAGGCGGCCAATCACCGGCGAGAAGGTGGAGCTTGGAGAGGAGGAGGAGCCGAGCGGCAGCGCGCGGAGATCGAAGAAGATCGAGGGAGCTGCAGGAACGAGTGAAGAGAGAGGCCAGAGAAGGAAGACAGCTGACAGGTAAGTGCAAATTTTGCTGCTGCAGCCAGGTATGCAGGCTGTAGATGGGGGAGGGAGAGAGCGAGCCCAGGCTGGAGCAGGGGTCAGCAAGGTAAGTATCATTGGTGTCAGTGGAAGGGATAGTCTCCCCCCACTGACGCCAACGATGGGGCGCTGTTCCTCCCCCCACTGACGCCAACGATGGGGCGCTGTTCCTCCCCCCACTGACGCCAACGATGGGGCGCTGTTCCTCCCCCCACTGACGCCAACGATGGGGCGCTGTTCCTCCCCCACTGACGCCAACGATGGGGCGCTGTTCCTCCCCCCCCACTGACGCCAACGATGGGGCGCTGTTCCTCCCCCCCACTGACGCCAACGATGGGGCGCTGTTCCTCCCCCCCACTGACGCCAACGATGGGGGCGCTGTTCCTCCCCCCACTGACGCCAACGATGGGGCGCTGTTCCTCCCCCCACTGACGCCAACGATGGGGCGCTGTTCCTCCCCCCACTGACGCCAACGATGGGGCGCTGTTCCTCCCCCCCCACTGACGCCAACGATTCCTCCCCCCCACTGACGCCAACGATGGGGCGCTGTTCCTCCCCCCCCACTGACGCCAACGATGGGGCGCTGTTCCTCCCCCCACTGACGCCAACGATGGGGCGCTGTTCCTCCCCCCACTGACGCCAACGATGGGGCGCTGTTCCTCCCCCCCCACTGACGCCAACGATGGGGCGCTGTTCCTCCCCCCCACTGACGCCAACGATGGGGCGCTGTTCCTCCCCCCCACTGACGCCAACGATGGGGCGCTGTTCCTCCCCCCACTGACGCCAACGATGGGGCGCTGTTCCTCCCCCCCCCACTGACGCCAACGATGGGGCGCTGTTCCTCCCCCCACTGACGCCAACGATGGGGCGCTGTTCCTCCCCCCCCCACTGACGCCAACGATGGGGCGCTGTTCCTCCCCCCCCCCACTGACGCCAACGATGGGGCGCTGTTCCTCCCCCCCCCACTGACGCCAACGATGGGGCGCTGCTGTTCCTCCCCCCACTGACGCCAACGATGGGGCGCTGTTCCTCCCCCCCCCCACTGACGCCAACGACGCCCTCCCCCCCAACGAACGGGGCGCTGTTCCTCCCCCCCCACTGACGCCAACGATGGGGCGCTGTTCCTCCCCCCCCACTGACGCCAACGATGGGGCGCTGTTCCTCCCCCCCCACTGACGCCAACGATGGGGCGCTGTTCCTCCCCCCCCACTGACGCCAACGATGGGGCGCTGTTCCTCCCCCCCACTGACGCCAACGATGGGGCGCTGGGGCCTCCTCCCCCCCACTGACGCCAACGATGGGGCGCTGTTCCTCCCCCCACTGACGCCAACGATGGGGCGCTGTTCCTCCCCCCCCACTGACGCCAACGATGGGGCGCTGTTCCTCCCCCCCCCCCCCCACTGACGCCAACGATGGGGCGCTGTTCCTCCCCCCCCACTGACGCCAACGATGGGGCGCTGTTCCTCCCCCCACTGACGCCAACGATGGGGCGCTGTTCCTCCCCCCACTGACGCCAACGATGGGGCGCTGTTCCTCCCCCCCCTGACGCCAACGATGGGGCGCTGTTCCTCCCCCCACTGACGCCAACGATGGGGCGCTGTTCCTCCCCCCACTGACGCCAACGATGGGGCGCTGTTCCTCCCCCCACTGACGCCAACGATGGGGCGCTGTTCCTCCCCCCCCCCACTGACGCCAACGATGGGGCGCTGTTCCTCCCCCCCCCACTGACGCCAACGATGGGGCGCTGTTCCTCCCCCCACTGACGCCAACGATGGGGCGCTGTTCCTCCCCCCACTGACGCCAACGATGGGGCGCTGTTCCTCCCCCCCCACTGACGCCAACGATGACGACCCAACGATGGGGCGCTGTTCCTCCCCCCACTGACGCCAACGATGGGGCGCTGTTCCTCCCCCCACTGACGCCAACGATGGGGCGCTGTTCCTCCCCCCACTGACGCCAACGATGGGGCGCTGTTCCTCCCCCCCCCCACTGACGCCAACGATGGGGCGCTGTTCCTCCCCCCACTGACGCCAACGATGGGGCGCTGTTCCTCCCCCCCCCCACTGACGCCAACGATGGGGCGCTGTTCCTCCCCCCACTGACGCCAACGATGGGGCGCTGTTTGACGCCAACGATGGGGCGCCTCCCCCCACTGACGCCAACGATGGGGCGCTGTTCCTCCCCCCCACTGACGCCAACGATGATGGGGCGCTGTTCCTCCCCCCACTGACGCCAACGATGGGGCGCTGTTCCTCCCCCCCCCCACTGACGCCAACGATGGGGCGCTGTTCCTCCCCCCCCCACTGACGCCCCCCCACTGACGCCAACGATGGGGCGCTGTTCCCCCTGACCCCCGATGGGGCGCTGTTCCTCCCCCCCCCACTGACGCCAACGATGGGGCGCTGTTCCTCCCCCCCCACTGACGCCAACGATGGGGCGCTGTTCCTCCCCCCCCCCTGACGCCAACGATGGGGCGCTGTTCCTCCCCCCCACTGACGCCAACGATGGGGCGCTGTTCCTCCCCCCACTGACGCCAACGATGGGGCGCGTTCTGTTCCTCCCCCCCCACTGACGCCAACGATGGGGCGCTGTTCCTCCCCCCCCCCACTGACGCCAACGATGGGGCGCTGTTCCTCCCCCCACTGACGCCAACGATGGGGCGCTGTTCCTCCCCCCACTGACGCCAACGATGGGGCGCTGTTCCTCCCCCCCCACTGACGCCAACGATGGGGCGCTGTTCCTCCCCCCCCCACTGACGCCAACGATGGGGCGCTGTTCCTCCCCCCCCCCACTGACGCCAACGATGGGGCGCTGTTCCTCCCCCCCCCCTGACGCCAACGATGGGGCGCTGTTCCTCCCCCCACTGACGCCAACGATGGGGCGCTGTTCCTCCCCCCCCACTGACGCCAACGCCAACGATGGGGCGCTGTTCCTCCCCCCCCCACTGACGCCAACGATGGGGCGCTGTTCCTCCCCCCACTGACCCACTGACGCCAACGATGGGGCGCTGTTCCTCCCCCCACCCCCCACGATGGGGCGCCAACGATGGGGCGCTGTTCCTCCCCCCACTGACGCCAACGATGGGGCGCTGTTCCTCCCCCCACTGACGCCAACGATGGGGCGCTGTTCCTCCCCCCACTGACGCCAACGATGGGGCGCTGTTCCTCCCCCCACTGACGCCAACGATGGGGCGCTGTTCCTCCCCCCCCACTGACGCCAACGATGGGGCTGTTCCTCCCCCCCCACTGACTGGGGCGCTGTTCCTCCTCCCCCCACTGACGCCAACGATGGGGCGCTGTTCCTCCCCCCACTGACGCCAACGATGGGGCGCTGTTCCTCCCCCCCCACTGCGCCAACGTTGGGGCGCTGTTCCTCCCCCCCACTGACGCCAACGATGGGGCGCTGTTCCTCCCCCCCCCCACTGACGCCAACAACGATGGGGGGGCGCTGTTCCTCCCCCCACTGACGCCAACGATGGGGCGCTGTTCCTCCCCCCCACTGACGCCAACGATGGGGCGCTGTTCCTCCCCCCACTGACGCCAACGATGGGGCGCTGTTCCTCCCCCCCCCCCACTGACGCCAACGATGGGGCGCTGTTCCTCCCCCCCCACTGACGCCAACGATGGGGCGCTGTTTCTCCCCCCCCCCCCCCCACTGACGCCAACGATGGGGCGCTGTTCCTCCCCCCCCCCTCCCCCCACTGACGCCAACGATGGGGCGCTGTTCCTCCCCCCACTGACGCCAACGATGGGGCGCTGTTCCTCCCCCCCCACTGACGCCAACGATGGGGCGCTGTTCCTCCCCCCACTGACGCCAACGATGGGGCGCTGTTCCTCCCCCCCACTGACGCCAACGATGGGGCGCTGTTCCTCCCCCCACTGACGCCACGATGGGGCGCTGTTCCTCCCCCCCTCCCCCCCCACTGACTGACGCCAACGATGGGGCGCTATTCCTCCCACTGACATCAGTGATGGGGCGCTAGTCCTCCCACTGCAAAATTAAAGTTATGAAGTAGCAACGAAAATAATTTTATGGTTGGGGGTCACCACAACATGAGGAACTGTATTAAGGGGTCGCGGCATTAGAAAGGTTGAGAACCACTGCTGTAAAGGATCAAGAAGGTTGTTTTCAGTGAGGTAGGAGCTCAGGCGATTGTAGACTAGGCGTTCTAGGAGTTTAGAGGTATTGCATGACTGCACAATTGCCAGTTAAAGTAGCACAGTGCTGAATAGCAAAAAATGCCCATGGTCCTGAAGAGGGCAAAAAATCTTCTCGAGCTCAAGTGGCTATGGGTGACAAGTTTGTCAGACATTGAAATATGCCAGCCTGGTATAGCCTCATGAATACATGAGGCCAATGCCACAAGTGGTTTTAAAGCAGACTGCAGATAGGGACTCGTACGACGTAGACAAGTGTTTAATGGTCAGACATACTTGGACTCATCATCCTTTCTCCTGTATATTCGTCTTGGTGGCTAGTTTTGTTTTGTAGATTGTGTTTTCTATATATGAAATCTACAGGCTTCTCTTTCTTCTCCCCATTCTCAGGCTGTCGTGGTGTGTATGTCTCCTCTTCTGCTGAGGCTTGTAGGATTGCGAGCATTCTCAATGGCCACCGAGGCCTACGTGTCGGGATCCCTCTCCGCCGCCTATGTCACTTGTCCTAATGACAAAGTGGCCAAAGACATCGCCAGGTATGTAGTAAGGAGCCTCGGGGATGGGTCACCTCTGAACACTGGAATGTGGTTGCTGGTGGTAATTTCCATCAGAGGAGCCCCTCTGATTTCAAATCACAGATTTCCCCTCCTGGAATGCACAGTTCATTGAGAGGGATCAGGGGGCTGTTTATTCATGGTGGCTAAATAATTGCTGCATTTCGCCTAATTTATCTGCTTAGATTAGTTTTTTTTTCTTTTATTTATGATCATTCAACATCCTAAGTTACAATGTCAGAGTGTAGGGCCCTGGTACCCAACCTGCGGCCCTTGGACCTCAGCAGTCTGTAGTGGGAACATTGATGAGGGTAATAGCATTGATCTCTACCAGCCTCAAGTAATGTGTTCGTAGATTCATGTTGTCTCCTGCACATATCCTCAGCCAACAACTTATCCAGTCCTCACTCTCTGACCCTCATTTCCTCTATTAGATCTGCAGTCTCTGACAGTCCTCTCAAGCATTACATATACCAAACATTATGTGCAGTCCTTTGTTGATGTCAGCCCACATGGAAGAAAAATATATTTGAAATATATTTTAAAAATAATCTTCCCAGATATATTGACGTATTTGAAATACTACAATTTTTGGCCATATTCAATATATTTCAATACATATATATACTGCATGTTGAAATGCCTTTTTTATATATTACAAAATATATGAAAAATATTTTTAAAAATCTATTTTTTTATATATATTCTTCAGATTTTTTTAACATATACAAACATCATTTTAACATATTTTTTTATTTATATTCGTAAATGCATTCCAAAAATGTAGATTAAATGTATTTTTTTATAGACATACAGTATATTTGAAAATGTATTTTAAAAAAAATATTTTCATTTATTTTGTAATAAAATGCATTTCAACATACAGTGTGTGTCTGTGTGTATATGTATATAGGTATGTATGTACAGTTGCAAGAAAAAGTATGTGAACCCCTTGGGATTACGTGGAGTTTTGCATGAATTGGGCATAAAATGTGCTCTGAACGTCATCTAAGTCACAACAATAGAAGAACACAGTCTGCTGAACATAATACTACACAAACATTAGATGTTGCCATGGTTTAATTGCATGCAAAACTCCACGTAATCCCAAGGGGTTCACATACTTTTTCGTGTGTGTGTAAATTTTTTTCATTTTTTTTTTTTTTTTTTCAATAAGGCCAACATTTTAGTATTCAGGACTAGCTGACTTGGGGGCCACTCAAATATGTTTGGGAAGAATATTTTTTAAATATATTTTTCTTCCATGTGGAAGGTGAAGAAAAGAAAGATTGACCGAAAAGATGAAAAACAGTATAAAATGCTGTAACTAGAAAAAAATAAAGCCCTTTGCAGAAAAGTCTCGAACTCTCCTCCATTAAATAGATAAGGTTTAGGGAGAGGTTAAAGCAGGGGTGCTCAGCCTGTGACCCTCAGAGTCCTATGATGTGGCCCTAGACCTCAAACCAGAGAAGAGCATGTCTGGGGTCGGCAACTTGTTGGTTACGATATGGACTTGACGACTCACCATCCCATAGCATCAGAGTGCATCAAGCTAGCACCAGGCTTGGGGGGAGCAGGGGCCACATGAGCCGGCCCCTGTCCCAGGTGGAGTGATTCCAAGTGCACTTCGTTTGAGACATTTCTAGCAGACTGGAGACGGAGAGTGATACCAGCAGAATTTGGAATGAGAAAAGGTCAGTGTATTAACCATTTGCCGACCGCCTCATAGCAGATATACTGCTACAGGGCAGCCGCACTGTGCAGAATCACTTCTATAAATGGGATTCTGCACTTCCTGGTCGCAGGCGCATGCATGTGCCACCGGCATGCTTCTTCTGTTGTGATTTGTCACAGCATAAGCCAATCAGCAGGTGCCAGCCAATGGATGATCTAGGAGGCTGACAGAGCACAGCTCTGTCTATGTGAACAAGGCAGAGCTGTGTCCTGGCAGCAAAATGCTGGATTCTCTCTCCCTGCAAAGCAGGGAATAGAATCCAGCACATTACCTGGTGAAAACAGCACACACAGTACACATTACACTTAGTTAAGCACACAGTTAACCCCTTGATCACCCTAGATCAGGGGTGTCAAAGTGGTGGCCCTCCAGCTGTTGCGAAACTATAAGTTCCATCATGCCTTTGGGAGTCATGCTTGTAACTGTCAATCTTGCAATGCCTCATGGGACTTGTAGTTTGGTAACAGCTGGAGGGCCGCCAGTTTGACACCTGTGTCCTAGATGTTTAACCCCTTCCCAGCCAGTGTCATTATTACAGTGTCAGTGCATACTTTTAGCACCGATCACTGTATTAGTGTCACTGGTTCTCACCAAGTGTCAGTTGGTGTCGGATTGTCCTCCGTAATATCGCAGTCCTGCTATAAGTTGCTGATCACCGCCATTACTAGTATGAAAAATAAAAAGTAAAATGAAAATTCCAGTATATATACCATAGTTTGTGGACGGTATAACTTTTGCACAAGCCAATCAATATACGGTTATATACGAATCAATATACGAGAATATATATAGCAGAATACATGTGTGAAGCAATTTGATTTTTAATTTTTTTTTTTTATTGGATATGTTTTGTAGGAGAAAGTATAAAAATATTGGGGGGTTTAAAAATTTTCAGTCCTTCTTCTTTTTTTTCTTTTCTTTTTTTTTTAGTTTATAGCCCAAAAAATAAAAATCCAGAGGTGATCAAATACTGCCAAAAGAAAGCTCTATTTGTGGGGGAAAAAATTACATAAATTTCATTGCATGACCGCGCAGTTGTCAGTTAAATTATGCAGTGTAGTATTGCAAAAAATGGCCTGGTCAGGAAGGGGGGGGGGGGGGGGGGGGGGGGTAAATCCTCTGGAGGGTAAATCCTCTGGAGGGCAAGGGGTTAAATAAAACAAAGTTTGGCTTGAGTTCCACTTTAATTACTATGTTGGTGAATAAACAGACAGGAAGGGGGAGGGTTACTTAGGGCCAATTCACACCAGTGCATTTTAGTGCAGATGTAAAATGCAGATCAACAGAAAGAGATCTGAAAAGCTTGCATTGCGTTGCACTAAAATGCAAAATGTATATTAATGGATGTCAACGCGCATTAAAATGTGACTAAAATGGATGGAAATGTACAAGTCAGTGTGAATTGGCCCTAAAACTGGAGCATTCAGAATCTGGTGCAGCTGTGCCTAGTAACCAATCAGCTTCTAGCTTCAGCTTGTTCAATTAAGCTTTGACAGTAAAACCTGGAAGCTGATTGGAGACCTGTACTGAGAAGAACGTGTTCATATTTCTCAAAATATGAAGTGGTTGTAAACCTCAGCCATGAAATACGAACAAAGCATATCCCTCTATAGTGTGTACTTGTTTCAATCCAGAGCACTAAGTGTAATTTCTGTCTGCTGCCTTGTTCTTCTGCTATCTGTAGGAGTATGGGTCCCTGTTGACGATTCTTCCTGACACCAAGAGAAAAATGGTGACGGGGAGGGCACAGCCTGTAATTGACAGCCTTAGCTCTGTTCCAGTGTGCTGTGTGAAGGGGGGTGTCCCTTTCTCCAATCAGCTGTCAGAGCTCTCCTCACTGATGTAACTTCAGCACCCCGCCCCCTGTTTTTCAGAGCTGAAAGATCTTGTGTAAATTCTGCACTTTAACTGGATGTAGATTACAGATTGCTTAGATAAACAGGTACAATTTATGTAGGAGGATTTAAATAATCTCTGTGTATCACCTGAGGCCGGTCACTTCACTGGGTATATGTTAGGGTTCACAACCAGTTTTAACAAAAAAATATATTGTAAAATTCAGTTTCTGATCTTGCATATGTAAGCCCCTAATCCTAGATAACACATGTATGTTGCGTGTTCTAACAGCTTTGATGTTTCTATGCAGGGGTCTGGTGGAGAAGAAGCTGGCGGCCTGTGTGAACATTATACCGCAGATCACCTCCATGTGAGTTTTGCCCCCAGATAATGTGTACCTGTTTGTTATATCCATTGTCCCTTGTGTGGGAGAGTCTCTCCCCTCCCCCATTACTTGTAGCGTCTCGCACCCTTGCCCTCCATGTCACACACTGTCATTTCAGATCTCCCAGCCGGTATATATCCAAATCACTGTCACCATTCCCATTTAAAGTGAGAACGTGGCATGAAAAAAAAATAGCTTGGCTATGCAGGAGTTCTGTATTAAGCCCAAAACCAAAAATGGAATACTATATATTGCAGCTTATCAATCATTAGATGGCGCTATATAGGTACCTATCATAAATAATATAAATACCGGATTTTTCATTCAACCAATGGACTGCAGATACAGTACAAGAGATGACCAGAGACTGCGGACACAGTACAGGAGATGACCAGAGACTGCGGACACAGTACAGGGGATGACCAGAGACTGCGCAGGGACACGGTACAGGAGATGACCAGAGACTGCAGACATAGTATAGGAGATGACCAGAGACTGTGGACACAGTACAGGAGATGACCAGAGACTGCGGACACGGTACAGGAGATGACCAGAGACTGCGGACACAGGTACAGGAGATGACCAGAGACTGCGGACATAGTACAGGAGAGGACCAGAGACTGTGGACACAGGTACAGGAGATGACCAGAGACTGTGGACACAGTACAGGAGATGACCAGAGACTGTGGACACAGTACAGGAGATGACCAGAGACTGCGGACACAGTACAGGGATGACCGGAGACTGCGGACACGGTACAGGAGATGACCGGAGACTGCGGACACAGTACAGGAGATGACCATAGACTGCGGACATAGTACAGGAGATGACCAGAGACTGTGGACACGGTACAGGAGATGACCAGAGACTGCGGACACAGTACAGGAGATGACCAGAGACTGCGGACACAGTACAGGAGATGACCGGAGACTGCGGACATAGTACAGGAGATGACCAGAGACTGTGGACACGGTACAGGAGATGACCAGAGACTGCGGACACAGTACAGGAGATGACCAGAGACTGCGCAGGGTACACGGTACAGGAGATGGTACCGGAGACTGCGCAGGACTGCGGACACGTACAGGAGATGACCGGAGACTGCGGACATAGTACAGGAGATGACCAGAGACTGTGGACACGGTACAGGAGATGACCAGAGACTGCGGACACAGTACAGGAGATGACCGGAGACTGCGCAGGGACACGGTACAGGAGATGACCGGAGACTGCGCAGGGACACGGTACAGGAGATGACCGGAGACTGCGCAGGGACACGGTACAGGAGATGACCGGAGACATCGGGGGGGGGGGGGGGGCTGGTACCCGAAATTGACAGGTGCCCGCTCCCACTTCCGCGAAGTTGTCCTCTCCATAGTCTTCTGGGACACGTGACAGGTCCCAGAAGACTACGGGGCCATTCACAAAGTGCAGCACTTCTCGCGCATGCGCAGTGGGTACCTGGCTGTGAAGCCGCAAGCTATCACAGCTGGGTGCCCATACTGAAGATGCAGACGCCAGAGAGAGAAGACGGCCGATGGAAGCAGGACACTGCTGGACCGAGGAACAGGTAGGACCGAGGAGTGGGTTCTTCTTCACAGTAGAACCGAGCGGCCGGCCCGGTATTTTAACACGGCGGCAGGAATACCGGGCCAGCCATTCCATATTCGCTCCATAAGATGCACAGTCATTTCCCTCCATTTTTTGGGGGGGGGAAAGTGCGTCTTATGGATCGAAAAATACTGAAATTGGATGTGGTGGCTGCATTTTGTTTTTTTTTTTCTGCTTTTTTTTCAGTTTTTGCTTCTTCATCTGACCAGTAAACACCTCCTCTATTAGAGCGCCCCCACGCTAAGTGAAGGAGCAACAGAGACACTTCTTGGACGGCAGTATTGTTAATCTAGGGGGGAGGGGGAGTGTTAGATGTAGTAGCAGATTTAGATACACGAACAAACTAGTCAAAGCCAAACTCCAGCTAATACTTCTTAAGCAATTACAGCAGTTTTTTTTTTTTTTTTTTTCTTTTCGGATAAAGGTTTTACAAAAATAAACGCTGATCATTGTAAGTATCCCTGTCAGTGGGTTGTCTCAACCCCTGTAACTGTTACATTTGCAGGACAGCTCGTTCTGCTGAAAAATAACATACGAATTGGCTGGATCACCAGGTGAAAAATAAAGGAAGGAAAGCCTAAAAAAAAATGAAAATTAATACAACTACCACATCTAAGAATTGGTAAGCTGCAAAATAATAAACGTTTGCTTTTAGTACATTTCTTGGTTTTGGATGTAATAGGCTGTACTGTCTGTGTTCTTATTAACCCTTTCCTGCCGGCCCTGGCATCCCCTTTTAAAAGTTTTAAAGGGGGGGGCAGGAAAGATTGGCGATCATGTGACCACTGTGATTGGCTGTCTTAGTGGTCACATGATCGGACGCTGGTTCTGCTGGCTACCGATGTTTTCAGCAGCTCAGTCTTTGTTCTGGGAGTGCTCTCCCAGCACATGAACACTGCCCGTCCAGTGATGCATATATGCTCCATGTCTTTGCTAAAAAAAAAAAATCCCAATACGTGTAAATTAATTTGTTTACATGAAAGTTATAGCGTCTGCAAATATATATATATATATATATATATATATAGTTTTTTTTGGACTTCTAGCGGGACTACGGCGGGCATTGTGACACTGGGGGGGAACTGACTTGGTGTCACTGACATCCCGAGTAATCAGTGCTAATAAAAAGCACTGACACTGTAATAATGGCAGAAATAGGTTAACATCTGGGGCAATCAAAGGGTTAACTGTGTGCTCTCTGTAAACACACTGCTTTGTATGGCTTTGCTATGCAGAGCCATACAAAACGGTGTGCAGGAGCTGACAGGGGAGAGATCTGTATTGTTTACATACAGGTCTCTCTCTCCCCCCCCCCCCCCCGTCAGAGATACTCGGAGATCGCCAGGTGCCGGCGGGGAATCACCGTCCGGGACCTGGTGATTGACAATCGAGGCACGCGCGCCCCCTGCCCGGAACTGCAAAATGATGGATATATATGTGATTTTGCGCACCCGTGCCGCCCTGTAGCAGTATCTCTGCTAAAGGGCGGCACGGAAGCGGTTAAAGCTCACCCGCCGAGAGACCACCTATGTACGTACGACTGGTGGGAAGAAGTTAAAATACGCATCTCAACTCTGCACTGTGCCTGGACACGTTGGCTGACATAGATCTGATTTTCTGCCCATGTGCTGAAGCTCATACTTGTATTTTTCACACTGCTCAGTGCTGCAACAAGGATTAAAGTACACTGGAGAATTGGACCACGGCTCTCGCATACAAAGCAATGGTCTGGCTCTGCAGGTATCATAACATCAACAGCAGTGACACCAGTAAGAAGGAGGAGGAAGTTCATATTTTTTTTTTTTTTCTATTCACATTGGGCAAAGAAAGGCAGCTTATGGCCCCCCATGCATCGGCTGGCAGGGGGCTCAGGGCATACGAAGAGATGATCCCACTGACTGCTCACCCATACAGTGATTTGTGGTCCTTATGGTTGCCTGCAGGAGTGAGCCTGGCGATCAATTTTTTGATTAGGTAGTCAGATCTCCAGGATTCACCTCCTCGCCAGAGAACATGTAGACATTCAAGCTGCTTTCTTGACACCAGACCAGGTCAGACATTCCCTTCCCTGCAACTTCATAAAGCCATATTTGAACTAAATATTATTATGGTGCTGCGCTGCTCCATCATACATATGAACGGGGTGTATAATAAAAACATTTCATCAAAGTGCAGAGACCCCAAATCTGGATAATATGAACAAAATATAAAGATGTGTCGAAAGTCCATAATTCCATTTCCAGTGAACGTGGTGACACCACAACTCCAGTGCTGCACAACCACTCATGCTCCACTTCCTTGAATGTTATGCCCTCACTTTGTACCCATAGAACATAGGTCAAATGCACACAGCCCCTTTCCCCAGGGGTAACAGGTCACTTTCACAGATCCTTATAGGCAGGGCTGAAACCATGGCCCCATACAGCCAACTTGACGGGCCCCCCCCGCCCCAAAAAAACACACAGTTTACTTTGCTTCAGTTATGATTGAACACAGTGGGTGATCAGTACTAACCACTGATTGTGTTCATTCAAGAAAGGAAATGACTGGTAACCTATTTACCGGACCCTTCACCCACTCTCTATCCTGAAGAATCCTATTGTGTTCTTGCAGCTGCCAGTGGAAAGGAGAGGACGGAACCTGGCAGCATTACGGGGGTGGGGACACACATGGGGGGCCTGGGCAGAAGCAGGAAACATATGGTGCACAGGGAGGGTGATGTGTTCGGCAAGTGGGGCAATTACTGGAACCGATCCCCTGTATAGCTCTCTCTGCTGCAGCTGAAAATGGGAGGGAGAGGAGAAGAAGCCAACTTTCAGCTGTTGCAGGGAGCCAGACAGGGGATCGGTTCCAGTAATTGCTACGCCCCCGTGCCGATCACCCTTCCTGCCCACATCCAATTCACTCAGCTGCCTGGGCCCCGTACAGGAGGACTGGTGGTACCCCCTTATCCACAGCCCTGCTTATAGGTCTCCAGCCATCCAGTCCTCAGTGGGTATATTCCCCTTTTAAGGGGCCGAAATCACTTTCCATAGCTGAAATATGCTCAAGGTGAATGAGGAACTAAAAGTAGTCCGGAGAAAATATTTTATTAAAGCATATGCGCTCACGTTTAGTAGAAATTCACCATAGCATATAAAAACAGTGGCTTTCTACAAAACACAGAGCACTGTATACTTTCGGTTAGCACAATGACGTCGCCTGGCTCCGCCCTACGTATTACATCAGTAATCGCATGACTTCATCAGGGATATATGTATATGAGGAGCACGGAACCATATCAATATTTGATTTATTTGGATGTGGAAACACATGCAAGATGTCAGCAGCAGCCAGAGTCACTTTGTACACAGTATTTATTTATTTATTTATTTCAGGTACTTATATAGCGCCGTCAATTTACGCAGCGCTTTACATATATATTGTACATTCACATCAGTCCCTAACCCTCAAGGGGTGTACAATCTAAGGTCCCTAACTCACATTCATACATACACATACTAGGGCCAATTTAGACAGGATCCAATGAACCTACCAGCATGTCTTTGGCGTGTGGGAGGAAACCGGAGTACGCGGAGGAAACACACGCAGGCACAGGGAGAACATGCAAACTCCAGACAGGTGGAACCGTGGCTGAGATTCGAACCAGCGACCCTAGTACTGCCAGGTAGAAGTGCTAACCATTTAGCCACTGTGCTGCCCAGTAAGCACGATACATTGTATTAGGTGTGGCAGCACAGGAGTATTTTTGTGTATATCGTATTGTAACTTATGCAGGCCATACATGGTTCGAATTCCGAATGATTTTTTTCCGAAAATCGAAAACATCGTTCGCTCGGTAATCCGATGGCGCCATCAATGATTTCCAAAATCGGCCAGCCAAGTCATAAAGTTCACCCCATATAACAGGCGACACTTCTGTTCCTTCCAGGTCACGGCTCATGCGTATATTCTTTTCGGAAAAACGATCGTACGATTTGACCAATCATGGAGTCGAAAATCGGTCGTTTTTCACAGATTTTCCAACATTTCTGATCACTGAAAAGGGGAGGAACCACAAAAATCGGCCGGTGCCATTAACCCACTAACAGAGCGAAAATCGGCCGATTATTCTTTGGTCTGATTTTTGGAGAAAAAAAATCGGTCGAATTTCGATCCATGTATGGCCGGTCTAAGCACATATTATGACATTTGACTAGGCCCCTGTTACGACCAAAACACGCCAGGGGCGTTACGTCTGGCATGAAAGGATCTGTCTCACTGACTTTGTCTGCTGTCAATAAAGTTTGCTGTGGCTCAAGAAAATAAGTGCAGCTTAGGCCGGCCATACGTGGGTCGATTTTCGAACGATTTTTCATTCGGAAATCGGACCTAAGAATAATCGGACAATTTTTCGCTATGTTAGTGGGGCAATGGCACCGGCGGATTTTCGTGGTTCCTCCCCATTTCGTTTATCGGGCATGCTGGAAAATTCGTGAAAAACTACTGATTTTCAACATCAATGGTGGCACCATCGGATTACAGAACGAACGATGTTTTCAATTGTTGATCGAAAAACCGTTCGGAATTCGACCTATGTATGGCCTGCTTTAGTGCGAGCTGAAATTTGACAGACTCATCACAGTTAGTATATGTGGTTCCTAGGATGTGAAGGCAAACGGATTGGGATGGGGCCTGGCTCTCCAGCATGGAATTCGAGGACTTGGTTCACCAACAGGCACTATGTAGGCACCACTTTGGAGGCACTGGTTGGTCACACCATGTCATGCTTACCATGTCTTCTGTTTTTCCTTCACCAGATATGAATGGAAGGGGAAGATCGAGGAAGACAGTGAGGTATTGCTGGTAAGCCACCATCCCGATACTTGCCACACAATGCAGATGGCTCTCCATGTAGCAAATATATTTCTGATTTTGCTCAGCTTTCGCTTCGGTTTACACTAGAATGTGGTACAGGAATCCGACGATCCATACGGGTTTCCCTCTCCGTGTTCAAATCACACTTGTTGTTGTCAGTGCAATGTTACCAACACCACAAATGCAGATCGCAAACACTGTGCATCTGCCTGCAGCAGATTGCATGGTACAAACCATCAGTGCATTTCCAAAAGTAGTGCATGCAACTACTGAAATCACGTTTTCGTAGCTGAAATATGCTCCGAGCAAATGAGGAACGAACAATAATCCAGATAAGATATTTGATCAAAGATTATGCACTCACATTTAGTAGAAAATCACCATAAAAACAGTGAAAGTTCCACAAAACACAGAACACGCTATACTACTGGTTAGCGCGATGACGTCACCCGGCTCCGCCCTACGCGTTAAATCAATAATCGCATGACTTCGTCAGGGGTATATGTATGTGAGCAGGAGGAGATGGAGCATGTGGCGACTTTAGAGGAAGAAACTAGGAACACTCAACCGGCATGTTTGTAGGTTTATACCAGGAGGCAAGGTGCAAAGAGGATGCTGGAAACCCATAGGATGATTTCTAGAATGACAAAAAGAATGCTTGGCGGGTAGGCTGTAACTTTGGTGAGCTTAAAGAAGAATTCCAAGTATGGATTTTTTATACGTAGTTACATTGGCCCAACTTGGACCAGTGTAACTATTCATATACCTAACCTGGCCGATGGTCCTGGATGCTGGGAATCCCTGTAGTAGACACCTCCACTTCATTGATCCTGTGCCAAGCAGCTGGACTAATGCATTTTAAACACAGGTGGTCAGCCGCTCGGCATGGGCTCCATTTAGAGACGGCATTGCAATTTCTGAATGAGTGCAAAGTGTTCTCTGATTGGATGAGGTGGGGCAGTGACATCACACTCTCCACCTCATCCAATCGGAGAACACTGTCCATTCAGAAAATGCAAAGTATTAATTTATACCTAATGTACTCTTTCTTGAAACGCAACAAAGTGTATACCCCAAAACTACCAGCTTACCAGTCCTTGGATGGGATGGCTGCATTCGTTTTTTTCAGACTTTTGTTTCTCTATTTTCGCCTGGTGATTCCTGGTGGACTAATACAATTTTCATGTCCCCCTCGTGGCTCCGCTGTGCTAGTGAAATGGATGGAAACCGCGCTGTTATCCTTCACAACCAATATGTGTCTTATGAATACAATTACATGAATTTAGAAATCAAATAAAAAAAAGTCCCAATGTGAATGTGATATAAAGTGATCGTGCCTCTAAAGACAAAAACAGGTGCTCCCCTAAAATTGCTTCTGGTGTCCCCACATTGACCTACTATTACTAGTCAGGTCACTTAGCACTTTTTAGGGAAAGCCCGTTTACTTATATCCTGTATCACTGTCAGGAATGGACTTGCCAATAGTGGTGGGACTCACCTGCCTTGTGGGCTGCAGTACCATGGCTGGCCAGCGGGTGCTCTCAACAACCAGAGGCTCACTTCGGCAATTAGCCATCACCTGGGGCTGATTGCAGGTGGTGTATTTAAGGGATGGCCAGACCTGCAGTCTGTGCCTTGTTGTACTGTTTGCTTGGCACTGGTTTCCTGATCCTGTTTCTGCTGTCCTGATGCTGCCTGAACTCTGCCTGTACTGACCTCGGCTAGTCCTGACCACTCTCCCGCCTGCTCCTGGTACTCCATTTGCCCGTTTGCTACCGACCCGGCCTGCCTGATTACTCTTGTATCGTATGTTTGTTATCTGTTGGAGGTTTGGTTCAGTTTGTTTGCACTGTGTTATGTTTAGTTTTGCACTGCGTTTGTATTGTTAGTCATAATAAATTATATTATTTACTATATCTGAAGCCTACGTTTCCCTGTGTCAGTCCACACACTTCTGGTCACACCCGCATCCCTGACAATCACGTGGAGGCTATATGTCTTTCACAGATAATCCACTTCCACTCGGGAAATAAAATGTCAAGGGAGATATCTCATAGCATAAAACCATTTGATTTACTTAAAAAATGCAAAGTAAGCACATCACACTCGCGTTAAAGTGCCTTGCAAAGCGGCCCTAGGTATATGCAGCTTGTATGGGGCAAGGATGGCCGCCGCTGCTTCATTCCTGGAAGCCATGTGCGTCCCACCGATCGGGATGTGACGCCTCCGAACATGACTTATCGGCATGTAAACCAAACCCCAACGCGTTTCGTCCTGATTGGACATCTTCAGGATTGTGCTTTCTTGGACATGGTCATTGTGTTTTTAGCATGGTCAAAAAGGTATTTTCTGTACTTGCTTTTCCAGTCAAACGTTCTTTGACTGGAAAAAAAAAAATGCAGCCCGTACCTCTAAAGACTAGTAAAGGGCAATAGTTCCCTTTTTGTTTTGGGGTTTGGATACATGTGAAAAAGACTCCTTATTTCACCTAGCCAACCAAAGCTTCATCGCAGACTGTGCTTTGTGAGTAGGAACGTACACAGAGGAGCCAGAGACACAACCCCAGTAGCAGTGTTGCTCATAGCAGGTTGGGATGTTAGTAGAGGAGTTAGAGAACATGTAAGAATAAACACTACAATACCCTGAAGTATAGTCTACTAATATTTTCCCCTCCTTGGTTCTTCCTTCTCCTTCCTTCCGCATTAACATGCTAATTCAGTTTTTAACCACTTAAGCTCTGGAAGGTTTTACGCCCTTCATGATCAAGCTATTTGTGGCTATTCAGCACTGCACTTCTTTAACTGGCAATTGCGCAGTCATGCAATACTGTACCCAAATTACATTTAGATCATTTGTTTCACACAAATAGCTTTCCTTTGTTGGTATTTTTTTTTAAGCTTTATAATAGGGCAGCACAGTGGCTAAATGGTTAGCACTCCCACCACGGCACCACCTGCCTGGAGTTTGCATGTTCTCCCTGTGCCCGTGTAGGTAATCCGGTTTCCTTCCACACTCCATATACATGCTGGTAGATTAATTGGCTCCTGTCTAAATTGTCCCTAGTATGTGTTTGTATGAATGTGAGTTAGGGACCTTAGATTGTACGCCCCTTGAGGGTTAGGGACAGATGTGAATGTACAATATATACTGTGCCGTGGACTGTGGCACCTGCCCGCATGCACAGGAGTGACGTCATCGTGGCTTGGCCAATCAGCAGGCAGGAGCTCACAAACCTGGAAAGAAGATTGAGTGAAGATGGAAGCCTCTGTAGCGGTGCCAGCATGACACTGGAGTGCTTCATGATGTCCTTCCAGAACGAGAGAACCGCCACCCGTCTGTCATTTCCTTGTGTGGTGGCCGGGAGGTGGTTAAGGCGGACTGCCGTTGAGTCATTATGCAGAGATTTGTTCTGTAGATTTGTGTATGAGGTGGAGCACTGGCTGCCAGAAGGTCTGGAGTTGAGGGCATTCCCTGAAGATATGGAGGATAGTGCCCAGATGTTGTTTGCATCTCCAGCAACGATCCGGTTGATTGCTTGCTGCATCTTCTAATGCACATTGTGAGAAGCTCACAGTGTGCGGTGAAATCAGAGGAAGCCATTCCAGGAGAGAAGCCGGTACAACTGTGCAAGACTGAAGGGAAGGCTGTTTTGAAATGGCAAAGGTAAGTATATATGGAGGACTTGATCTGTGAAAATGATGGTGCCTGGAATTGGCCTTGAATCGGGCATTGGGTGTATTTCAGGCACTTAGTACGGTTATTGATGTCACCAGAATAGTTCTAGCTGTAGGATTGTGAAATGTTATGTTCTCTGTCCACATTAAGAAGATTCCTCTTCCCAGCCGCACATGGTTGTCACCTTCATGAGATCAATAATGACTTTCCTGGTACCTCATTCTCGCCTTTCTGTCCTTGTCTCTATACAGATGATTAAGACCAGGTCATCCAGAGTTCCAGCTCTAACGGAATATGTCAGGTGAGAAGACATCATTGCGCTCACTATGAGGTGGTTAATATGGGTTCCGAAAAGAAAAAAAAAACATGGAGTACCTTTTTAGCACCGGTTGTGGAAACCCTGTTGAACAAACCCAACCATGTCCTATAATATGTGGACCACAGGCTGGGAAACGACTCGAAGGTCCTCTTGTATAGTTTTCCACCCATAACATAAATATTTTTCCATTAAAGTTTTTATTTTTTAAGAATACAATACATGTCATACTTATCTGCTCTGAGCATAAAGCCGCCCCAATCCTCCTCTTCTCGAATCTCCCACCAGTGCTCTTGACTCCTCCCCCCTGCTGAGTGCCCCCATAGCAAGCCATTTGCTACGGGGGCACTTGTGCGTGCTTGCTCCTGAGCTGTGCTCTTTGTTTTTATTGACTCCCCTCCCTGCTTACTGGTTGTCTCTGAACCAGGGAGGACGGAGAAAGCCTATACTGCACATCGCTGGAACGAGATGGGGCTCAGGTAAGTATCAGGGGGGCCATATGCAGGTTTTTTTTTTTCTTTTTTTTTACCTTCAGTATGGGTGTCAAACTGATGACCCACCAGCTGTTGCGGAACTACAAGTCCCATCATGCTTCTGCCTGTGGGAGTCATTCTAACTGTCAGCCTTGCAATGCCTCATGGGACTTGTAGTTCTACAACAGCTGGAGGGTTGCGCTGTATCTGATTCGGATAGAATATAGAAGGGTTCAAATGGGGGTTAACAATTAGTCGATCATGGGCATGTAATGGGTAGATTGTGACCAACCCTGTAATGCTGTCCTGTACCTGGTGCTTGCCTCCTCTCTGACATTAAATCAGAGCAGCATTGCAGAGCAAAGGGGAGCTGCGCTAGTCCCTATGATCCTCCATTCGTGTCCACCTTGCCCTTGTGCCCGTTTGCTCTCTCCCCCTGTGTGCCTCCACTCCTGTCCATCATAGGCACTTATGTGTGACATCTCATATAGGTAGCTGGGTTGGATGCAAGAGGTGGACTGATGGGAACCAGCCTGCCACAACAGGTAAGTATTCTCGCTGCCACTTTCCTGTGGTACTCTGCATATCAGTGATTGGAAGAAGGAAACTATGAAGGGGGACACAATGGTGGCACTAGGGAGACATAACAATGGCACTGGGGTGACTAGGTTGCTCTGGGGGTCATAATTGTGTCAGTGGGGTGATAGGGTGGCATTGAAGTCATAATGGTGCCACTAGGATGACATGGTGGTACTGAGGATACTTATCGCTTTATCACTGACCACGCCCCCTGTAATTTAGCAACAAAAATGGTTCCCCTTCCCCACAGGCAAGGAGCATGCATGTGTATATATATATATACCAGGGGCGGACTGACAACTCATGGGGCCCCCGGGCAATAGGGGATCATGGGGCCCCTGTGTCCTTGCCCAAACTCAAAAAAGCCCTATGAAAAAGGTACCAGGGGCATCTCATGGGGCCCCCTACTGACCCCGGGCCCTCGGACAGTGCCCGAGTTTCCAAATGGTCAGTCCGCCCCTGGTATATACATCTATCTATCTATTCACACACATTCACTCACCAACCACTTTATTCACTCACCAGTCTGAACCATTGATACAAGGCAGGATGGATCCATGCTTTCATGTTTACGCCAAATTCTGACCCTACCATCTGAATGTCGCAGCAACCAGTCTGTCCCATTCTCCTCTGACCTCTGATATCAACAAGACATTTTCCTCCACACAACTGCCCCTCACTGGATATTTTCTTTTTTTTGGACCATTCTCTGTAAACCCTAGAGAGGGCATGAAAATCCCAGCAGATCAGCAGTTTCTGTTAGATTGTAAGCTCCAAGGATCAGGGCCCTCCTCACCCTCTTGTATTGAACTGTATTGTTGCTGTATTGTCTCCCGTTATATTGAAAAGCGCTGAGCAAACTGTTGGCGCTATATAAATCCTGTATAATAATAATAAATACTCAGACCATTCCGTCTGGCACCAACAACCATGCCACATTCAAAGTCACTTAAATCCCCTTTCTTCCCAATCCTGCTCGGTTTGAACTCCAGCATGTTGTCTTCACCACGTCTAGATGCCTAAATGCATTGAATTACTGCCATGTGATTGGCTGATTAGCAGTTTGTGTTACCAAGCAATTGAACGGTGGAGCTAATAAAGTGGCGTGTGTGTGTGTGTGTGTGTGTGTATATATATATATACACACACACATACACACAATGGGGATCGAAAGTTTGGGCACCCCAGCTAAAAATTTGTATTAATGTGCATAAAGAAGCCAAGGAAAGATGGAAAAAATCTCCAAAAGGCATCAAATTACAGATTAGACATTCTTATAATATGTCAACAAAAGTTAGATTTTATTTCCATCATTTACACTTTCAAAATAACAGAAAACAAAAAAATGGCGTCTGCAAAAGTTTGGGCACCCTGCAGAGTTAATATCTTGTACTGCCCCCTTTGGCAAGTATCACAGCTTGTAAACACTTTTTGTAGCCAGCCAAGAGTCTTTCAATTCTTGTTTGAGGTATCTTTGCCCATTCTTCCTTACAAAAGTCTTCCAGTTCTTTGAGATTTCTGGGCTGTCTGTCACGCACTGCTCTTTTAAGGTCTATCCATAGATTTTCAATTATGTTGAGGTCAGGAGATTGTGAAGGCCATGGCAAAACCTTCAGTTTATGCCTCTTGATGTAATCCTCCGTGGATTTCGAGGTGTGTTTAGGATCATTATCCATTTGTAGAAGCCATCCTCTCTTTAACTTCAGCTTTTTCACAGATGGTATCAAGTTACCATCCAAAATTTGCTGAAATTTTATTGAATCCATTTTTCCTTAGGGGTCTGTCACTTTAAGTAAAAACAAAGCTACTGAGGGCATGCATGGAGGGCATGCAGTTCAGGCACCTAGAACTTTTCACCGCATGCGTGGCTATTCTCACATCTTGAGCTCCAATATGTGTGGGTGGTGTCAGAACTTGCTCTGTTCTTCCTACCCCATTCCCCTAATTCCTGTTGGCCCATCTCTATGGTGGGCTGCCTCACTGGCCAATAAGAATGCACAGGAAGGGTCAGGCAAGCTTCAGCGCTATCAGGAAGCTCCAAAGCATTACTTGTCAGAACAGTGCGGCATTCAGGCTAAGCAGGTACAGAAAGCTGCTGCAGGTATGCCGGTCTGTGCAGCAGATTTGTGTTTTCACATAGGTTGCATAGGGCTTGGCTGGAGATCAGATGCACAGGGGATTGGGGGGGGGGGGGGGGGGTTCGGAGGTGAAAGAGATGAAAAAAATTATCGCACAATCATAACCCCTTAGCATGAATCTGCTGCTGTCTGCGATCTGAAACTAATTACCGGTAATGATCGTTCATTCATTAGCTCCTCCTTCCACTGTTGAGAGAGGAAGGGGCAGATTCTCAGATGTAAACAGTAGTATGTTTACACTTGTGATCTCTGTGATTGGTCATTCCGGCAATCACAAGGTACAGAGTCGCTTGGATCAGCAGTACTGTTTACATTTGTGATCTCTATGATTGGTCATCTCCGTGATCACAAGGTACAGAGCTGTTTAGATTAGTAGTATTCTTTTACATTTGTGATCCCTGTGATTGTTTATCAGAATTGATCACAAGGTACAGAGCCGTTTGGATCGGCTCTGTTCACTGTGCCTGTGATGTGAGCCATCAAGAGAATGGCTTACATCACAGCATTTAAAGTGGATCTTCAGCCTCTCCAGAAAGGTTCCCCCTCCCCCCCTCCTCTACACGAATAGCGCCATATTTGTGTTTTTTTTACCTTTTTTTTAGTTTTTTGTGTAAAATGTGCGGCCACCACCCCCTCCACCTTGGCGAATGACATGCACAGTGCTCACAATGCATTCTGGGATATGTGCATCACATATTCCAGGAGGTCTTAGTCATTCAGAAAGGAGGAGAGGCTCAGGCCTAGCAATGCATCATCACAAGGCTCTTCTGGGTTCATCCGGTGGGCCTCTCGGTGATGTCACAAGCAACATGGCGGCACAGGACCTAGTGGTGTCTGATGACAAGAAGATCTCAGTGGGGCAGTGCTGGACCCTCTGGGTGGGTGAGTATCTGAACTGTGCAGAATACACCACCTGCTAAGCAGTGGTAAAAAAATAAATAATAATGGGGAATGGGGGGGGGGGTGGAGGTCCACTTTAATGGGCGCACTAGTTGCCTGAGGGCTATTTAGCTCCATCTATAAATGACACAACAGGACTAAATGCCTTCCTCTTCACCATTCGTGAACATATGGCGGTTGACAAAGCAGTCTTGTTTATGAATCATTTCTCTATTAACTGCATTTGGGGTTCAGGTTATTATTTTTTTTTTTTTTAACAGCCATTTTGTTTCCTGGCAGGTCTGTCCATCCGTACGAAGTGTGTGAGGTGATCAGCGTCCCCATAGACCAGGGGCAACCCTCCGTACCTCTCATGGGTTGAAGATACTGTGCCAAAATAAAAGTCTGATATCTCCACCATCAATATGTGATGATCTGAAAGGGGTCAGCCCACCCACAAATGATAGCTAGAGGTGGGACTTTGTGTTTCTTTTATATCTGGAATGCATTGATTCTTCCTGCCGTCATGCCTGGCTCTGTTCCTTGGGAGTTTTTTTGTGTTCCAGCTCCGACTGGTACATTCACTATAATATGAAATGAATATAAAATCCACCAGACCTGGTGGGAGACTCCTATAGAGGCAGGCGGCAGGCCTGAAACTCAACCAGAGATTTACACCCCGGTCACACACCAAACCCGACTTTGAAATTGTGCGACTTACAGTGAAGTCGCACAATTTCAAAGTCGGGGGACATGCTGATTTCAGGTGCGATTTGCAAAACATCTGATACAGATGTCTATGCAAATCTCACCAAAAGTACTGCATGTACTACTTTAGAAATCAGTGCGACCAGTGGTGTCCCGAGGCAGGTGCGGGGGGGTGCGGTCCGCACCGGGTGACACCGACCACACGGGGTGACACCGGACCCGCTCCATGAAAAGGTAAGTTGTAAAGCAAGCCGACAATCCCCGCAGGATGGATCGGATCTATCCTGCGGGGATCGTCAGCTTTCTTTACAACTTACCTTTTCGTGGAGCCGGTTGGGTGTCGCCCCGTGTGGTCAGTGTCACCCAGTGCGGGCCACACCCCCTGCACCTGCCTCGGGACACCACTGGCCGCACCGATCTCTAAAGTAGTACATGCAGTACTTTTGCAGTACTATACCCCATATAGGTTGCATGCCGACGATCCCCGCAGGATGGATGGGATCTGCGGATTGGGGAGCATAATGGATCGGACTCCGATCCATTATGCTCAATCCGCAGATCCGTTCCATCCGGATTCCGGGTGCCATTCTGCGGGGATTGTCAGAGCGGGTGTCACCATGTGTTACTGCACCGGGAACCGCAACAATATGACCGCTCTAATAGACTGCAATTTGGCATGCCATTTGCAGGTCGTATGGCATGCAAATCGCATGCCAATTCGAATGCAGCGTGACCAGGGTCTTAGGAAAACATCAGGGAGTTTAACTCTCCGGTATCTACCAAAAATCAAAATATCAGTTTTTGGCTGGACTGACCCTTTAAGGAATTGTGTCCTCAAGAATTACATTAAAAATGTGTTTACTATGACAAATGCTCATGATGTTTTATTATGTTATTTTTCTTTATTGGATACATGAAGTCTCTTTTGAAAGAGTATTCATTGGTTTGATTGTGGAGAAAAAAAAAAAATGGATGGCGTACAGGATCAGTAAAATATACTGCTGGAAAAAAATCTGATTGTATAACGCAGACACTCGTCACGTAGGTGGAATTCATCATACCGCTGCTGGTTGCCGTATCTGTCACTAGATGGTGCACTTCCTCTTCCGGAGTTTTGGTGCGTTCTCCTGCATCCTACACAGCTGGTATTATATGTACCTGAAATCATTTCTAGTGTAATCTGCTCTTTTTAAAGCGGAACTCCACTCAGGGGCGGACTGACCATTTGGAAACTCGGGCACTGCCTGTGGGCCCGGGGTCAGTAGGGGGCCCCATGAGATGTTCCTGGTACCTTTTTCATAGGCTTTTTTGTTTTGGCAAGGACACAGGGGCCCCATGATCCCCTATTGCCCGGGGGCCCCATGAGTTGTCAGTCCACCCATAAGAAGTTCTGCTTTAAGCCTTTGTCCCCCCGCTCCCCATTAAGGACCTTTGGGGAGCGGGTACCTGAATTTGACTGGTACCCGCTTCCACTACCACTTCAATCGCCTAAGGCAGGTGTTTATAAATGTATTTGTGCGCAATGTTCAGAAGCAAAAAAAAAAAAATGCTCCAAAGCTGCTTTTTGCTGCTCTGTACGCGCATGAGAGTAAAGTTTTCCAATGAATATTCTGGCCAGTAGCATGCATTTACTCTCAGCGCCATCAGCACATAAATGTACATAGACAATTGGAGGCTTTTTTTTTTTTTTGCTAAGTTCTGACAATCTATAAATTCATATACCTGAGGCCAGGGGCGTATTTACCACAAGGCATTTGCCTAGGGCGGCATTTTTTAGGGGGGCAGCACTGCCCCCTGGAAGAAGGGACATATGCAGAATGGGGACCAGGTGGGATCCAAGAGAGGCTGCGGGCTGCTTGATGGTGTATGGAGAGCCCAATTGTCATTCCCAGGGATGTCCAGAGCTGTGAAGGTGAGTGTCTTTCTCTCTTTTGCCAGGGGCGGTGTTAGTGGAAGGCTCTCTCAGGTGGGGGGGGGGGATGGGGCAGGGGTATTGTTGGTCACTGTCAGGCTCTCTCCGCGCAGGGAGGGAGAGGCTGGTGTTGGTCGGTGTTAGGCTCTCTCTGCTGAGGAGGGGGGGGGGGCCGCGTCCAATTTTTGTGTCGCCTAGGGCAGCACAAAACCTAAATACACCACTGCCTGAGGCCTTCTGTATGTGATTTGTAATAATTAGCCCTAATATCAGGCTGTATGAGGTGCACACCATAGGTTCTAGGTGTACCGTTGGCCTGGAGCCAGAAAGGAACGAATTGCATGAGTCCACCCATTAGCTCAAAATGAGGAATAATCCCCTTTATTTCAGACATTTAAATACTACTTGATTATAAGATAAAAACATGTTTTTTTTTTTTTGTATAAGTAGTACCCTTAAGTCTACCATTTTGCCTCAAATACCTCATGAAAAATAGCAGTGTACTCCTGCTATGGCTGCATAGAGGCATTTTCCTGTTTTGTAGCCTCACAGCTTCTATATATTTGCAATATGAGATCATCGAAGGCGCTGCTGCCTCTGACTGCTAGTCTCACCAGATCTGGAGTGAGATTTGGCGCGGCCCGCTGTTCTTCCTGGAGAGAAAGCTGTACCTGAGAACCTACAGTGCAAGGATCTCCCTGCTAAAGTTATCCTGTGGCTTTGTGATTCCTCCATATCTTCTGCTGCGTCCTGAATATTTCCTCACTGGTCAAATTCGTAGTGACTTTAATGTGAAGAAGCAAAGCCCTGCCTCTACCAAGATGGCTGCCTCTACACAGCAACACAGTTTGAAACAAGAAATGGTAAGTCAGTAATGGGGGAAAGGTCAGCCTTAGGGAGTTTACAGGCGGTACTGGTGAATAAAAAATTCTATTGTACTGAAAAAGGGGGGGGGGGTCTTTCCTATGTTAAAACTGAACTTTGTATCATAAGGGCTTGTTCCCCCATGGTGCACAGACATCCGGTTTTTTTTGCATGTGTTCTCCAAGGGCATAACAGTCAGTTGTTCTCTATGTGCCCTGTTCACACCACAACATTGGTGTCACGGTTTCTTCTGCGCAGGAATCTGCAACATATATAAAACTCTTTGGAGTGCGCATGAAAACTGATGGAAACTGTTGTCTGCAAGTGAAATCTGCGCATTAGTTTCCATCAGTTTTTTCCGCACGTATGGAGTGAATGAGGCATAAAATAGCCTATGGACCAGTATACCAAAACTGACTGTGAATGAGATGCTGTACTTATATTGTCTAACACAGCCTTTCTCAACCTATTCAACAGACAGGAACCCTTGAAATAATTTTCCAGTCTCAGGGAACCCCCGCTAAACATTACCAGATCTACAACTCATGATGTGATGGTCTGTGGGAAGAATGCTCCTTACATTTGTGGCCATTGGGATGAATTACCCCTTTTACAGATAGCTAAAAAAGATCAATGGTGTCAGTGGGAACTTATCTGAGAGGCAGAATTTGTTTTTGGTTTGATATAGGAACACGTGAGGTGATAGCAGCAGCTGAGGATTGGATTTGTTCTTTTAGGTCCCACATTAGAACTTATCGGTTGTATCTTAGAAATTGTTGATTGCTCAAGGAACCCCTAGCAACCTCTGGAGGAACCCTAGGGTTCCATGAATCCCTGGCCCAACATCATGCTGATTAAATGACAGCCTTGTAGTTTACATTCCATTTTAGCACCTGGTCCTCTCCACTCCAATTCTCAGGCTAAGGAGCCAAGTGCAAAGGGTATGAAGTTGGGCAGTTTGTGAAGACTGCAGTGTACCTTAATAGGGAATATGCAGGAGAGGAGTTCTGAGAATCAGACAGCGGGAAGTAGGTGAAGGACAGGAGTTAGGAGGACAGGATGGTGGGAAGTATGTGCAGGATAGGAGTTTGAAGGATACAATGGTGGGAAGTAAGTGCAGGACTATAGAGTGTTGAAGGATTTAATGGTGGGACAAGTACTGTAGGTGCACGGATAGGTGTTCAGGGGAATTTGACAAGAAGTAGGTGCAGGATTGGAGTATGGAGGAATACAATGGAGAGAAGTATGTGCAGGATAGGAGTTCAGAGGATACGACGGTACAACGGGGAAGTAGGTGCAGGATAGGAGTTCGGAGGATACACGGTAGGAAGTAGGTGCAGGATAGGAGTTCGGAGGATACGAAGGTAGGTAGGTGCAGGATAGGAGTTCGGAGGATACGACGGTAGCAAGTAGGTGCAGGATAGGAGTTCGGAGGATACGACGGTAGCAAGTAGGTGCAGGATAGGAGTTCGGAGGATACGACGGTAGCAAGTAGGTGCAGGATAGGAGTTCGGAGGATACGACGGTAGCAGCAAGTAGGTGCAGGATAGGAGTTCGGAGGATACGACGGTAGCAAGTAGGTGCAGGATAGGAGTTCGGAGGATACGACGGTAGCAAGTAGGTGCAGGATAGGAGTTCGGAGGATATGAGTAAGGAGAGAGAAGTGCAAGACGCAGTAAAGGGGGTATGATGGTTGAGGCAGTGGTAGGAGGGCTAGGGATAGAGGAGTAGAGGATAAGACGGTGGGAAGTAGGTGCAGAGTAGGAGTTCGGTGGATACGATGGTGGGAGATGTGTGCAGGATAGGAGTTTGGAGGATACGACAGTGGGATATGTGTGCAGGATAGGGGTAAGGAGCGAGAAGTGCAAGACGCAGCGCAGGGGGTATGATGGTGAGAAGTAGGTGCAGGATAGGAGTTCGGAGGATATGACGGTGGGAAGTAGGTGCAGGGTAGGAGCTCGGAGGATACGACGGTGAGAAGTAGGGGCAGGGTAGGCGTTTGGAGGATACGACGGAGGGAAGTAGATGCAGGGTAGGAGTTCGGAGGATACGACGGTGGGAAGTAGGTGCAGGGTAGGAGTTCGGAGGATACGACGGAGGGAAGTAGGCGCAGGATAGCAGTTTGGTGGATACGACGGAGGGAAGTAGATGCAGGGTAGGAGTTCGGAGGATACGACGGTGGGAAGTAGGGGCAGGGTAGGCGTTTGGAGGATACGACGGTGGGAAGTAGGTGTAGGATAGGAGTTCGGAGGATATGATGGTGGGAGATGTGTGCAGGATAGGAGTTCAGAGGATATGATGGTAGGAGATGTGTGCAGGATAGGAGTTCGGAGGATACGACGGAGGGAAGTAGGCGCAGGATAGGAGTTCGGAGGATACGACGGAGGGAAGTAGGTGCAGGATAGCAGTTTGGTGGATACGACGGAGGGAAGTAGATGCAGGGTAGGAGTTCGGAGGATACGACGGTGGGAAGTAGGTGCAGGGTAGGAGTTCGGAGGATACGACGGTGGGAAGTAGGCGCAGGATAGGAGTTTGGAGGATATGACGGAGGGAAGTAGGCGCAGGATAGCAGTTTGGTGGATACGACGGAGGGAAGTAGGCGCAGGATAGCAGTTTGGTGGATACGACAGAGGGAAGTAGATGCAGGGTAGGAGTGCGGAGGATACGACGGTGGGAAGTAGGTGCAGGATAGGAGTTTGGTGGATACGACGGTGGGAGATGTGTGCAGGATAGGAGTTCGGAGGATACGACGGTGGGAAGTAGGTGCAGGATAGGAGTTCGGAGGATACGACGGTGGGAAGTAGGTGCAGGGTAGGAGCTCGGAGGATACGACGGTGAGAAGTAGGGGCAGGGTAGGCGTTTGGAGGATATGACGGTAAGAAGTAGGTGCAGAGTAGGAGTTCGGAGGATATGACGGTGGGAGATGTGTGCAGGAGAGGGGTAAGGAGAGAGAAGTGTGCAAGACGCAGTGCAGGGGGGTATGACGGTGAGAAGTAGGCGCAGGGTTGGCGTTCGGAGGATACGACGGTGGGAAGTAGGTGCAGGATAGGAGTTCGGAGGATATGATGGTGGGAGATGTGTACAGGATAGGAGTTCAGAGGATATGATGGTAGGAGATGTGTGCAGGATAGGAGTTCGGAGGATACGACGGAGGGAAGTAGGCGCAGGATAGGAGTTCGGAGGATACGACGGAGGGAAGTAGGCGCAGGATAGCAGTTTGGTGGATACGACGGAGGGAAGTAGATGCAGGGTAGGAGTGCGGAGGATACGACGGTGGGAAGTAGGTGCAGGATAGGAGTTTGGTGGATACGACGGTGGGAGATGTGTGCAGGATAGGAGTTCGGAGGATACGACGGTGGGAAGTAGGGGCAGGGTAGGAGTTCGGAGGATACGACGGTGGGAAGTAGGTGCAGAGTAGTTCGGTGGATACGACAGTGGGAAGTAGGTGCAGGATAGGACTTCGAGGATACGACGTTGGGAAGTAACTGCAGGATAGGAGTTCGGAGGATATGACGGTGGGAGATGTGTGCAGGATAGGAGTTCGGAGGATACGACGGTGGGAAGTAGGCACAGGATAGGACTTCGGAGGATACGACAGTGGGAAGTAGGTGCAGGATAGGACTTCGAAGATACGACGTTGGGAAGTAGCTGCAGGATAGGAGTTCGGAGGATATGACGGTGGG